TTCCTGCCACCCTCCCGGCCCCGTGGCCCTGCCCGGCCCAGAGCGGAGGCCGATGCGCCTGGCACACTCACAGCTGCCGGGCGGGTGGCTCTGAAAGTCCAGCGACATGTTGCTCACGAAGCTGCTGTCCACGATGTCGTGCCACTGGATGGTCTCCATGTTGCAGAGGGTGGGGTTGTTGTTGAAGCGCACGGCGCCCTGCAGGATTTCTGCGGGAGAGAGGACGGTGAGCCCCGCACCGCCCCGTCTGAGCTCTCACGGTGTGCACGCATTTCTTTCTTTTTATTTTTGTTAACCCTCACCCGAGGATATTTTTCCATTGATTTTTAGAGAGAGTGGAAGGGAGAAGGAAAGACAGAAACATCGATGTGAGAGAAACATATCAATTGGTTGCCTCCTGCACATGCCCTGATCAGGGCCCGGGCTGGGGAGGAGCCTGCAACCAAGGTACATGCCCTTGACCGAATTGAACCCGGGACCGTTTGGTCCGCAGGCCGATGCTCTTCCACGTTGCATCCTGCTGGACGGACGCCAGCAAGCCAAGGAGACTCCCCGTGGAATTCCATGGCAGCAGGTGGAGAATGAGTTGAGGCCCTGTCCGTGTGGCTCAGTGGTTAGATCTGTCATTCAGTAAATGCTACGTTTCATGTCCCTGCCACAGAGTGAGGGCACGATCACTGTTACCTTGTTTTTAAAAAACCAACTTCCCATCTCTCCTATCACCTTCCAGCTTCCTGTCAGAGGACCCTCACGCGTGACTCAGACACAGAAATTCAGTCCTCCCCTGTCACACCTTCATTCCTTGGCCTGACTCAGACAACGTGACCCAGTAAACTGTCTCAAATATGCGTTGATTTTGTTGTTGTTGTTAATCCTCTTCCGAGGACACTTTTTTTTTCATTGATTTTTAGAGAGAGTGGAAGGGAGGGAGGGAGGGGAGAGAGAAAGAGAGAGAGAAACATTGATGTGAGAGAGACACAGTGATTGGTTGCCTCCTGCACACATCCCGACTGGGGTGGGGATTAAACCCACAATCCGGGTACGTTCCCTTGACCGGGAATCACACCTGTGACCCCTTGGTGTGTGGGTCCACGCTCTGACCACTGTGCACACCAGCCAGGCACTAGGGGTTGATTTTTAATGCATGTCCCTTACACCTGAGGCCAAGGTCACAAGACTGGCAGCTTATTTGCTCCCTAGGCAATCCCGACTGGGGTGGGGATTAAACCCACAATCCGGGTACGTTCCCTTGACCGGGAATCACACCTGTGACCCCTTGGTGTGTGGGTCCACGCTCTGACCACTGTGCACACCAGCCAGGCACTAGGGGTTGATTTTTAATGCATGTCCCTTACACCTGAGGCCAAGGTCACAAGACTGGCAGCTTATTTGCTCCCTAGGCACAGAAAGTCTGCTACACTCCCTTCTCCCAGAGCCTTCACCATTTCTAACTCTCCGGATGCTTTTCCGTGAACATGGGATAACCTGGCTACATCTCCCCTTCCCATTGCACCGTGTACCACCTTTTCAGTAACCTCCACCGGCTGTATCTCGCACATGAGTGGCACGGGATACAAGAGAAAAGCAGTTAGTTGCCTACAAGGGAGCGCCCATTCGACTGTCAGCTGATTTCTCAACAGAAACTATGCAGGCCAGAAGGGAGTGGCAAGAAATACTCAAAGTGATGAATAGCAAGAACCTACAACCAAGATTACTCTACCCAGCAAAGCTATCATTCAGAATCGAAGGTCAGATAAAGAGCTTCCCAGACAAGAAAAAGCTAAAGGAGCTCATCACCACCAAACCACTATTCCATGAAATGTTGAAGCGTATTCTTTCATAAGAGGAAGAAGAAGAAAAAGGATAAATATTTGAACAACAAAATGGCAATAAATACGTATCTATCAACAATTGAATCTAAAAATCAAAATAAAGGATCAAGAAATCTAAGAAAGTAAACTGATGAATAAAATAGAATCAGAGGCATGGAAGCATGGAACAGACTGACGCATCTCAGAGGGAAAGAGGGAGGCGTGTGTGAAGAGATTAACCAAAGAAATTATATGCATATGTGCGTTAGCTATGGACACAGACAACAGGGTGGCGAAGGCCTGGGGTGGTGCGGGAACTGGGTAGAGGAGGCAATGGAGAGAAAAAAGAGGGATATCTGTATTCATCTCAACAATAAAGATTTTTTTTTAATTTAAAAAAGAAGAACGCAACAGAGCTACAGGTATGATGCAGCATGCTCTGTGAGACAGCATTAAGTGAAAAAACAGATACTCTCAAAATAAAGATTAAAAAACCCACATTTGTTGTGATGAATAAAGTCTTCCCTGAGTGAAATGAAGAAAGGCCAGGTGGGCTGTGTCCCATTTCTGCGCTAGGGCCCCCGGGCCGGCCGCTCACCCTGTAGGTTCCGCATGGGCAGCTCCCGCAGGCCGGTCTTGTTGGCGCCGTAGTTGGACAGGACGGACAAGGCGTGGGTATTCTCGAAGAGCATGTTCCCCCGGATGATCTGCAGGTTCTCCAAGGGGATCTTCTCCACCACGTTGAGGGCAATGAGGACGTAGCCGGCCACCTCCTGGATGGTCTGAGGAGACAAAGCGTGAAGCTGGCCTATCTCCTTCGAGGAGCTCAAGAGCGTGAGGTCTAACACGGGCCCAGGAAACCAGGACGCCCCTCTGAACGACGCACACGCGTGGTGACAGCCATAGAGCATGTGGGTGACTGCACAGAGGGTGTGGCAGGCTATGGGGGCACAGTCATTCCCACTTCGTGCCCCCTGAGCCCGCTGGCGGCAGGAAAGGGCAATGTGATTACTCAGCAAAACCGTGACTCGCTTCCCTTGGCCTTCAACACACTCGGGTGAAGATGGGAACGGCTTTATTAATTTATCTTGCATCTGTCCTGCCTGCTTGCTCATGAAAAAAAGAAAACAGCAACCCAGAAGGAGGTCAATCACACCCAGAGTTCAACTGCTGGCTCCTGCTGGCTCTCTGGAGCCGACTGAGAAACATGGGGACACTTGTGAAATGTGGTTAAACTCTTGGCGGCTGGAAAGCAACCGTGGCGGGAGTGTTTACACCAAGGCAATGGGCAGATGCTACAAAGCAAGGCTTTTCAAAAAGTAAGAGCCAGTTCCCAGGGTGCCACGGCGGAAGCCATGGCGACAAGATACCTCTCAGTGTCTATGATGACCGTGGAGCGCCGGCCGGGCCTATCCCTCTGTGGCGTCCTTTGGTGACCTGGCACTAGCTGGGAGAGTGCCCTCCTCATGCCACGTGCACCTCACGCTCCCTAGGACTCGGAACTGCCGTGGCCGAAGCCAACACGCGCCCAGGAGAATGCCGCCCGGGCCTGTGCCTGCCTCTCTCCACTCCTGTCCTGTCTGGGCGAGGCACCGAACTCACGGAACCAACCTTTAGGAAGGACAGGTCGTAGTCCCTCTGCATGTAGGTAATCTCCAAGTTCCCAAGGACCACCTCGCAGTTGTTGAGCATCCGCTGGAGGCTCAGGAAGTGGTCGTCGAACGTGCCCAGCTGGGTGAGCTTGTTGTTGGTGCCCTGGCAAACTGGGGGGGGGAAAAAAAAGGCATCTCATGAAATGCCCAGGAAGGCACACAACTAAAATAAAACCACATTCACAAACGCCAACGGACTCTGTGCTCCGGCGACTCAGGACGTTAATTCTGATGGAGGACTCGTTCAAACGTGTTCAAAAGTCACGGGGACACAGACGAGATCCTATAAAAACCTCTCGGATGAGACAGTCGGTAGGAACCTCAGCAGGCCAAACAGTGCGCACCAGAGAGCGTACGAATGATGTCATTACAACGTCGACTGAACAACTGCATCGCGAACTTTTTACTTTGCCAAAAGAGAGCACGCCGCCTTCTGTGTGCCAAAGGATATTTGCAAACATAATACACACCAGGCGACGTGTGCGGACCACCACGGTGTACAGCCGGGAGTCGATGACGAGCGCGTCAAGGAGAACCCAGAGGCGGGAGATTTAAGATCGTCTTCTAAGCGAATGCCTCGGAGACTAAACCCAAGGTCTCATTAGATAAGGTTTAGTGAATAGCGAAATGGAAACATACATTCAAAAACCGCCAGTGAGAAACCGACAGCGCTCCGTGAGTCCGCCCTCCCTGGGGGCCCCACCCGCACAGGTGCGCTCCCCGGCCGGCCGGCCGGCACCGCCTCGGCGCACTCAGCTCCTTCGTGTGCGAAGCTACCAGACTTCATACCAGACAACATTTCCCATTAGGGGGAGACCCACTCCGCAGTCTGTGTTTCAAAGCCAAGGAGAGGATGATATGAAGTCACATTTACAAGCCCAGCTCTTTAAAGGACACGTTCAGGCAAGCGTAACAGAACAAAGGGGTTCGGGCCTTTGAAGCTGGGAGCTTTGAACCACAATCCCTCTGGGAGTGAAGACACAGGACCGGCTGGGGTCGCCCGGGTCTGCAGAGGCGGCACCACCAGCGCAACCAGTGGCTGAGCCCCGAGACGAGGCCAGTCCCCAGGCGGGACCTCCTCGAGGTCACCCCCGAAACCTGCGCTGCTCTTCCTCGGCCTCTGCACGCCGCCATGGGAACTGCCCGCCCAGCATCACCTGGCGTCTGCCCTTGCTCCTCGGTGTCAGGGCAGACAGCACAAGTTCAGACGCCAGCGCTGGGCATGAAGCTCCCCCACTCCTCGTTCATCCTGTGGGGGTTCCCCCCCGCCCACCCCGCTCCCCGCCGTGTCTCACCCACACTCTGCGGCAGAGGGAAAGTCACATGGGAACTCTGATGGCGCCCCAGAGACTGGCTTCCAACCCAACGTTGGGTGGACCCAACACGGCCGGCCACTGCCTTCGCCCAGGAGTCCGGGCCGCTCGCTTTCAGCCTCGACCTGGAACCCTTGAGCACAGTTGGCTGCGAGGCACGGGGACAGGGCCAGACCTACTTCCCAGCGCCAGGTCCTGCGTGAAGGCGCCCCCACGATGTAGGCGCAGGGTTGTGGCGGCGACGCGGGTTCCCCACCGGCACACCTGGAGGCCACCACCGCTCCCCTGGCGACAGGCCGGCCCTCCACCTTTCGGCCTACCTGACTGGCTGCGGGCTAGGTGGCCACAGGTGTTGGGCGTGCCCTCGTGCCAGCCAGGTGAACGGTGTTGGCGGGAACTTGGGGGGGGCACCCCTCAGGAGTTCTCAGCCACAGAGGAGGCACATAGCTGCTTCCACCGTAAACGAGGAAGATCATTCGCTTGTGAGCTTCTCTACTAAGAGCCAAAGGGTGTTTATTGTCACATCGATGGGGCCCCTGGTACACACGCCACTGAAGTTCAGCCGGTTTTATTCCAGAAACGGATGATGTCAAGAAGACGGCACTTGTGCCTTCATTCCGCCCTCCTCCCGCTCACCCAGAAAGCGCCCAGGGAGCACCTGCAGAGTTTATGCGCTGAGTCTCCGTCACGCGGCCTCGTGGTTCAGGGTGAGGCACTTTGATCGTCAGAAACAAAGATCCTCTCTTTGGAAGATGACAGCAGCACTGCTCACTGTTGATGTGAACGTGAGTTCATGAACCATGTTGGGGACCCACTGGGCAGTGTGTGTGACTGAACCAGTGTGCTTTCATTCCATGTCAGGAGGATCCCACTTCAGAAAATGTATCGGAGGAAAGAGACCCAAATATGGAAGAAGAAAAAAAGCTTTGTGCAAAATGTTGATCGTTATTGATTTGTTTTTTAATAATGCCCCCCCGGCCCCCATCGCAAAGAACCCTAGAAGCCAGCTGTCCAACGTGTCTGTTCTGGGGGAGAAGAAGGCTGCTGGCGTTTACTTGGTTCGGTCTGAGGCAGGCCCACCTGGAACCTGTTCCCCAGGTGAGGCCTGAAGTCCCCGCCCAAGGCAATCATGGCCCAGCCGTTTCTCCGGAGGCGCCCCCTGCCTTGCCCACGTGCCCACAGGACACAGCGGCAGCCGCGAGAACCCGTGCAGGACTGGAATGACCCTCGGTCTCTTGATGGAACAAAGTATAATCTTGGTCCGTGCCCATAGGACACAGCGGCAGCCACGGGAACCCGCGCAGGACCGGAGTGACCCGGCCTCGGTCTCTTGATGGAACAAAGTATAATCTTGGTCCACCTTTCACACCAAATATCTCATGTTATGAAACAAAGAAATCGGAACTTTAAAATGTGGGGCCACGGAGCCAGTAAATGTATTAAAAAAAATAAAAATCCCGCCCTGCCCGGTTTGGCTCAGTGGATAGAGCGTCGGCCTGCGGACTGAAAGGTCCCAGGTTTGATTCCGGTCAAGGGCATGTACCTTGGTTGCGGGCACATCCCCAGTAGGGGGTGGGCAGGAGGCAGCTGATCGATGTTTCTCTCTCATCGATGTTTCTGACTCTCTATCCCTCTCCCTTCCTCTCTGTAAAAAATCAATAAAATATATTAAAAAAAATAAAAATCACAGACCCGCTGGCAGATTTAAGACAAAACCACAGAGAGCGAGTGCCTGTTAATTCATCCAGGAGAACATTCTTATTCGGCCACTGCCTCATGGTGTGCCCTTGCGGCACCGCCGGCAGCTCCAGCTCGGGAGGCGCTTTCCTCCAATGCAGACCCAGGGACACCCCGCCTCCCAGGCTGCCGAGGAGGCAGAACGGCAGGAAAGCTTGGAGCTCCTTCCGTCAGAGGGAACGACTGGGAATGTGCGGGATGTGACACGGGTGCATCGGACAGACGTGTGCCTGCCCCGGGCGCTGTCTGTTTCATTGGGAGCGACTGGATCTGCAGATAGGCTTAGTCAAACGTGGAGTGTTAAGCAGAGTTACTTTGTAGAACCTTCATAAAGAAGAGGAAGACGGGGGGGAGAGGAAGAGAGAGAGAGAGATGTTATACTTTAAGAATGTCCTTAAAATATGCATTTAGGAAGGTGCATCGGACGGTCGTGTGCCTGCCCCGGGCGCTGTCTGTTTCATGGGGAGCGACTGGATCTGCAGATAGGCTTAGTCAAACATGGAGTGTTAAGCAGAGTTACTTTGTAGAACCTTCATGAAGACGAGGGAGAGAGAGAGAGAGAGAGAGAGAAGGGGGGAGGAGAGAGAGAGAGAGAGGGGTTATACTTTAAGAATGTCCTTAAAATATGCATTTAGGACTAGGTGTTTAAGCAATTTATTCGAAGAGAGAAGAGATTCAATATGACTTCAGTGCTGTATGTTTCACGACTAACAGTGTGTGCCCAGCCCCGTGTGCACTACGCCTGGCTTTACCCCTCAAAAACCTGAGGGCAGATTCCACTGAGTCAAGAGCAGCAGGACCTACTCAGCACTAGCTTTTCTTCCTCAAATCTGGTGACGAGTCGGAACCGCAGAGAAGAGCTGAAAGGACCGCACTGCGGACATGCTTCCGTTAGCATGTTGCTATGTTCCCCTCGTCACGTATCTACTCATCTTACTTTTTTTTTTAAAATGTTTTTACTGATTTTAGAGAGAGAGGAAGGGAGAGGGAGAGAGTGATAGAAACATCAATGATGAGAGAGAATCATGGATCAGCTGCCTCCTGCACGCCCCCCACTGGGGATCGAGCCCGCAACCCGGGCCTGTGCCCTGACCGGGAATCGAACTGTGACTTCCCAATTCAAAGGTCGACGCTCACCAACTGACCACGCCGGCCGGGGGTGTCTTACTTTCAATGCATTTAAAAGGGGCAGATATGAGTACGCGTCACCCCACAGGCCACCACTTCTGGTTCAATGACTGTTTCCTCTGCTGTTGACGGACATGCAGAGGAGTGTGACCTAATCCCTCTGCAGCGGAACACCTGGCGAGTTTCTACAAATGCACACGTGCGCACACGCATTCAAAGGTCGACGCTCACCCACTGACCACGCAGGCCAGGGGTGTCTTACTTTCGATGCATTTAAAAGGGGCAGATATCAGTACACGTCACCCCGCGGCCACCGCTTCTGGTTCAATGGCTGTTTCCTCTGCTGTTGACGGAACATGCAGAGGAAAGTGTGACCTAATCCCTCTGCAGCGGAACACCTGGCGAGTTTCTACAAATGCACACGTGCGCACACGCGTGTCACCCACACTCCTCTCACACGAGAGGACACACCATCACCCTAGTGAGCCCTGCACGCCCCTCCCGCGGATCCCTGCCCCCCAGCCTTGCGGGCTTCAGGGCTCAGCACTAGCGGGATGGCGCCACGCTGTCCCTGTGGGCGAGGCGCCCTCCGGAGGGCAGCCAGGCTTCTGGGGGTCCCCACGGTGAGGCCTGGCATCTGCTCAGCTCTGAGCGACAGGCTCAGGCAAGGGCTTGTGGGAAACGGTCTGCTGTTATCCTTGGACACCGAGGGCTGGCCCACAGCCTGGCCATGTTTTTTCTCGAGTCCTACACCTTATCGTAACCGAGAATAAAACAAGCTGTCTCCCTGAAGTCGCAAAATGCCCCTCCTGTGTGTGTGTGTGGGGGAGGGCGGGGGGCGGAGCCTGCCCCGTGGCATTAGGGGGTCGGCACCCCTCTTTGCCCACAAGCCCGGGCAAGACATTCAAACCAGTTTCTTCAAGTTTCCCCCAA